GTCTAAGTCTCTGAGGCACTGTAACAAGTATATGCTCAAGAAACACCTGAAACATCCCATACTCACTGAGCACATCTAGACTCTCAGAGGTGGCCAGGCTGCAAACAGACCATCCCACTAAGCTGGAATTAATAAAGCGCAGAAGAACTTTCTCCATGTGGCAGGAAATACACAAGAGATGGACATACACACAAAAAAGAGGAGACGCAAGATAAAGTAAAGTAGGAGTAGTAAAGTAGGAGACCATGAAAATCCTGTTCAAGACTGACTGAACAAGCAGAACAACACTGAACCAATGAGCAAGGGTTCCATAAGGGACAGACAGACTGGAAAGACGAGACACAAAGAGTCACAGTAGGGGAAAAACAGAGAAAAGTAATGTCACCCCATCACTAAATCCACCCTGGCCAGACACTGCAATGAAAGCCCAGATTTCTGTTAATTACTCCTCTGCAATCAGTAAACACACAGAACAGAAATCTCAGTGTTTCCGAAGAGAATGCAAGTTCAAAATGCTCGTCAGTCACTCCAAAGCATTACTTCAAGTGGCAGACATCTGTATGGTTAAAAGATCTCACTTGGGATGAAGAGAACATAATGCCCATATTTTCCATCTTCTCAACGGGAAAAAGCCCTTGGGAATTCCATTCTGAGGGACTACACATTGCAGTTGCAAAGTCAAGCCTTGAAATGACTGTAACAATTAAGATTGTGCAATTACATGGTAATTTACTAATGATTAGCTATTCAGTATTTTCTCTTACCTTCATTGTCTACTGAAACACCCTACAACTTTTCTGTTGCATATCATTTAAGTTTATTCTCAAAACCAAACATATTAGTTTCTTCATTGATATTTCAGTAGTGTTTATTACTATAGTATTTTGGTGCTTTGCAAATTACAATATCCTGTACAGGAAAGCAAAAGTGGAATCTCCATTGTGCTAAGAGGAAATGAATTACAGAAAGATAAAGATATTTGCAACTTTTTATTTCTAGATCAAGTCACAGTTTTTTCAGAATACCTAATATATGCATTTATATAGATCATTACACATTTTAAACAGAATTCCTACTGACCTCAACTGCAATAATAGTACATAATATTTCTGCAAGTCAGGCTCCACGCTCAACACCAAAAAACCAAACATTTACAAATGTCTCTAAAAATTTGAGTCTAGGAGTCTTGTAGCAGAAGCAGTGACAGAATCCAGTTCTTCAAGGCAGCATTCAGCTACACTCTTAGCTACACTGAGCTAGAGAGCCAGTCCTTAAATTCACACATCATTCTTGTTCAGGGACCACACTACATTTCTCTGCATCATTTCAATTTCAGTGTATGAGCTGCCAAAACTGACTGACTTCACCAATGAGTGAGAAAAAAAGTGATAAATCCTTGCTTTGGAATCCTGCTGGGAATTACTTTACAACTATACACTGATTTCTGATACCAGTATATCTCCAGCTGCTCTCATTAAATAAATAAAAAAAAAAATTAAGAAAAAAAAAAACACCAACAAAAAAAACAAAGTATGCTCTAGTTAACTTAAAAGCAAAACTTCAAGTAACTGATCTGTATGGTGAAACACATTATTAAAAAACTTCAGCTGCATATATTACAGTACCATCACTTCAAGTCACATATTTGTACACTCTGACTCAAAAGGGACAGTTTTTTTGATTGTTCCCACATTAAGATTATGTATGACATTCTTATTTAAGGAACAAATTTTTCAAGATATTTCTAAAAAACAGAAAAATACAGTACTTTGAAATATGGCATTACTACTTTCTACTATGTAAAAACAGAGAAGCCATTAAAAAATTACTTCATTCAATACTAACATAATGAAAAGCCCACAGGCCTGAAAACTATTTACATTAAGGAAATTTACAAGAATGTAACAGTTCTAAAATCAGTTGCCTTAAAGAGATGTCAGAATGATGAGCTCTTTAAAGTGGAAAAGGCCTGTTGGTGTGACCTAAATCCAAAAGAAAAGAAATTAACTACACTGGAAGTAAAGGCAGTATCTTCTATGGAATTTTTTTGGTGGAAATGGAGGTTAGGTGATTAGAAATATTTTCTGCAATGAAAAAAATTTACCAAGGCATCAGGATTCTGAATACAAAAATTCAGAAATGCCGATTCGTTCCTAAAAGTACTTAATACCAACTTCTCAAATCCTTACTGCATCTCATATTCCCAGAAATCTGATAGAACAATGAACATGTGTAAAAGCTTAAACATCCAGGGCTCAGTCCTCCTAGACTTGCACAATATCGTCTACTAGCACATATCACTTAACAACCTAAAGCTCATACATATGGATGCAACATAATCAACAGCGGGTAAACAACTTCAGAATTCCTTTAGTTCAGTATTTAAATAGTCCTTTAACTTTTAACTTCCAAATTTATTTCGTTTTTTTAAACACCTATATGTGCATTTGTGAATCAAATAAACATACATTGCAGAGCTGTGGAATCACCATACTTACAGGATTTTTCTGAGTGCAGAAGTAGAATTTATGGTCATTTTCAATGTAGAAAGGGAGTTTCTTCCTTCTGTCACGGTTATTTCCCTTTGTAAGCAAACTACACAATGAAATTCTGAATTCAAACAAATACTAAATAGTGATTTGCAACACGCTGCACATAGAAAGACCGCTATGGTCACTGAAGGAAGGAAAAGAGCAATAGCCCTGACTGTAATGGAGAAATACACACTATGCTTTGAAGGCTGAATCCACAGTGAAAAAAAGGAAAATCTGTTTTCTATTAGCAACAATCCAGAATTTGTATAGTAGGGCTGATTGTGTATGTACACACATGTTCTTTATATATATACAAAACTTTGAAATTATCAATTTTATTTATATATGTGTGTGTGTGTAAAATAAGTCTCTTTATTTCAGCACTTCTTCCACTCAAATCTAAATGGACTAGGTACAACCAAATTTAAGGCTAACGTTATACCAGCTTCATTTTAAATCAGCACTGATGTTCTGTTTCAAATATCCTGCAACTATCCATTTAACTTTTATTACATGTAAGAAATGTTTCTTTTTTCTTTCAACTTAAGAGGTTACATGTTTAATAACTTTCTATTCCCCAACTTCTCCAAACCCTCACAACTTTCTCTTTTCACATTGAAAATCTTTGAATAAAGTGTAAAATGCCAAACTCTGCTGCTGTTTCAAAGTGTTTTCACTAAATTTTAAATTTTATTAAACAGAACATGAATTTCTAGAAGTGATAGATACAGGTTCTGAAATGTTAAAACAAAGCTATATGAGATACATGAACACAAAACAGTAAATAGAAAAACATTTTGTAAGTAGAACTTGGGTTTTTCTCATATGCTTGTTTCAATTCAGTGTCGCTTTTTTAAGGGAGAACCCATCCAACTTCCTCAAAATGAAGTTGAGATTGAAATACTCTCAAAGCTAGACACTTTGCCATGTGCACGTATGATATCCTAAAAGTCAAAGAGGATTATCGATTACAAAGGAATCCTCTGCATTTAGACATAGTTGAGTCAGGGAGCTTTATTCATTATTTTTAATTAATTAATGATTGTCTTTTAATCAAATAATATATTGCCTGGATTATGTGTCCACCTCTGTTACTCCCTTTCCAATTCCCCTTTTCCCTTAAATCCTGCCTACACTACTGTTCCAGAATAGGGAGATTTTCTTTGGGAACTAAAAATCATTTTCTTTTATGGCAAATTGTCTTTACAAAAGGCAGTGCCCTTACTCAAAAGAAAGGATCAAAAATCCCCAAAACAAGATTAAAAAAGTAGATGAAACAAGCCCCCAAAAATCTTAACACGAAATTGATAAGACATCATCAGTTTTACTCTCTTAAGTCATTGCAGCCTGCTTCTACCAGATCAACCAAGGGAAATACGTCTAAGCTTGGGAAAAAAAACCAAGGAGCATTAGGGCATATCTTAAAACTGGCACTGGCGAAATGATCATTAAGTGTTTTTAAGTTCATTAATATGAAGGACCTTGCCAGATGTTAAAGAATAAGCCTTTAAATGGAGATGGGGAATAGTTTTGCAAGATACATTCACATGACAACATAGATCAGCATCCCCAGTGCAGAAATAACAAAGTGAAGTTATTTGACAAGCTGTCATAATGCTTCCCATACATCTTACACATCCTGCATCTCTTTGCTTATTTCCCTGAGCATATGCCACATAACATCCAACATGCAGTTTATTCACAAACACGGTCATGACCCTTCTTTCCCTTCCCTCCAATATACTTGAATTTATTCATTTTATTTTGCCATCTTGTTTACTTTCAGTTTCTGTGGATGTTCACTGCAGATACAGGAATCTGCATACAGAGAAAAGACTGCAGAACAAAAACACTCTGAGGCAAGGGCTGCCTTCTAGTATAAAATGCATACACCCTTCTGCATAGCTATCTGAATGGACACCTTAAGTTTGTCTATTGTAAAAAAACAATAAAAACCTGAACAGATTATCTTCCTGCTTAAGGTTTTCACTCACCGAGTGGAATTAACCGTGAGAAACAGGCAAAGTTCTTAAGTCCACAACAAACTATTATCCAGACTGATTCAGAACAAAATGGCTTTAGAACATTCTTATTTCAATACTAAATCCAGTGAATATTTCAATAATTATCTCTACACTGAAGAAATAAAAAGCAATAGATATAGCTAAGGTAGTCAGCACAGAAGCTACTTGTATGCTTCTGCCAAAACTTGTTTGATAATCATGAGTTTTCTGTTGAGAAAAAATTAATTGCAATTGAAGTATTGTATCGATGTTTTGTTTAATCAGTCGTTTCTTATCCACAGCATAAGAATTTCCAGTTATCCAATCAAGTCACCGGACTGCAAGTGACTCCAAGTCCCAACAGTTCATTAATACCATTCTGTCTCCCATATGATATTAAATGAGCAACCATAAAACAAAAATGAGATAACTCTGAACCGAGGAGATGAGGAAGTATATTTACCTGAAGCATCTCCAACTTTAAAATCACTGTCATCAGAGCTATCATAATCTAAAGCTTCCAGCAGCGAAGCTGCCAAAGGCTTCACTTGTCTCCTCTTCGAACTGCGGTCCACTGCAGGAAAAAAAAAATAGCATTGTTACTAGGTGGCATAATGAGAATTCAGCATCGTTGAAAATATTTAAATTAGAAGGAAAGGCAGAATGGCCGTGACAGGCAGGGGCAGGCTCCGCCACACTGCCCGCAGAACAGCCGGCAGATGCAGACGGCACCGGGGTCCCGCGGACGTTCGCTCCCACAGGTGAGGGCGGGGAGCGGCGGCACGCACAGCGGGAAGGGTTTACCCACAGCTAACAGGAGCTGCCCGGCGGAGCCGTGGTGCTCCCTTCAGGCGCCGGGAAACAAGACGGCACCGTACCGGCAGCGGCTCGCGGGCTGCCCGCAGCCCCGGGCACCGGCAGGAACCCCGGGGGGAGGGGGCTGGGCGGATACTGGGGTCGCCTGAGGC